CAAAAAAATCATAACTCCATTAATAATAACTCGATTACTTTGAGTTTTTAGTATTTTTTACATTGAATCTTTAGGAAAAAGTCCTTAAAATTTCAACTCTCCACTCACTTTAGTTTTTGAGTGGAAAAATTGTGTGTAAAGTCTTACTATAGAAAACATCATTATTTTAAAAAAATCATAATTCCATTAATAATAAATCAATGCCTTTGAGTTTTTAGTATTTTCTACATTGAATCTTTAGGAAAAAGTCCTCAAAATTTCAACTCTCCACTCACTTTAGTTTTTGAGTGAAAAAATTGTGTGTAAAGTTTTACTATAGAAAACATCATTATTTCAAAAAAATCATAACTCCATTAATAATAACTCAATTGCTTTAAGTTTTTAGTATTTTTTAAATTGAATCTTTAGGAAAAAGTTCTCAAAATTTCAACTCTCCACTCACTTTAGTTTTTGAGTGAAAAAATTGTGTGTAAAGTCTTACTATAGAAAACATCTTTATTTCAAAAAAATCATAACTCCATTAATAATAACTCGATTACTTTGAGTTTTTAGTATTTTTTACATTGAATCTTTAGGAAAAAGTCCTTAAAATTTCAACTCTCCACTCACTTTAGTTTTTGAGTGGAAAAATTGTGTGTAAAGTCTTACTATAGAAAACATCATTATTTCAAAAAAATCATAACTCCATTAATAATAACTCAATTGCTTTAAGTTTTTAGTATTCTTTAAATTGAATCTTTAGTAAAAAGTCCTCAAAATTTCAACTCTCCATTCACTTTAGTTTTTGAGTGAAAAAATTGTGTGTAAAGTCTTACTATAGAAAACATCATTATTTCAAAAAAATCATAACTCCATTAATAATAACTCAATTGCTTTAAGTTTTTAGTATTTTTTAAATTGAATCTTTAGGAAAAAGTCCTCAAAATTTCAACTCTCCACTCACTTTAGTTTTTGAATGAAAAAATTGTGTGTAAAGTCTTACTTTACAAAACATTATTATTTTAAAAAAATCATAATTCCATTAATAATAACTCAATGGCTTTGAGTTTTTAGTATTTCTCACATTGAATCTTTAGGAAAAAGTCCTCAAAATTCCAACTTTCCACTCACTTTAGTTTTTGAGGGAAAAAATTGTGTGTAAAGTTTTACTATAGAAAACATCATTATTTCAAAAAAATCATAACTCCATTAATAATAACTCAATTGCTTTAAGTTTTTAGTATTTTTTAAATTGAATCTTTAGGAAAAAGTTCTCAAAATTTCAACTCTCCACTCACTTTAGTTTTTGAGTGAAAAAATTGTGTGTAAAGTTTTACTATAGAAAACATCATTATTTCAAAAAAATCATAACTCCATTAATAATAACTCAATTGCTTTAAGTTTTTAGTATTTTTTAAATTGAATCTTTAGGAAAAAGTTCTCAAAATTTCAACTCTCCACTCACTTTAGTTTTTGAGTGAAAAAATTGTGTGTAAAGTCTTACTATAGAAAACATCATTATTTTAAAAAAATCATAATTCCATTAATAATAAATCAATGCCTTTGAGTTTTTAGTATTTTCTACATTGAATCTTTAGGAAAAAGTCCTCAAAATTTCAACTCTCCACTCACTTTAGTTTTTGAGTGGAAAAATTGTGTGTAAAGTCTTACTATAGAAAACATCATTATTTTAAAAAAATCATAATTCCATTAATAATAAATCAATGCCTTTGAGTTTTTAGTATTTTCTACATTGAATCTTTAGGAAAAAGTCCTCAAAATTTCAACTCTCCACTCACTTTAGTTTTTGAGTGAAAAAATTGTGTGTAAAGTTTTACTATAGAAAACATCATTATTTCAAAAAAATCATAACTCCATTAATAATAACTCAATTGCTTTAAGTTTTTAGTATTTTTTAAATTGAATCTTTAGGAAAAAGTTCTCAAAATTTCAACTCTCCACTCACTTTAGTTTTTGAGTGAAAAAATTGTGTGTAAAGTCTTACTATAGAAAACATCTTTATTTCAAAAAAATCATAACTCCATTAATAATAACTCAATTGCTTTAAGTTTTTAGTATTTTTTAAATTGAATCTTTAGGAAAAAGTTCTCAAAATTTCAACTCTCCACTCACTTTAGTTTTTGAGTGAAAAAATTGTGTGTAAAGTCTTACTATAGAAAACATCTTTATTTCAAAAAAATCATAACTCCATTAATAATAACTCGATTACTTTGAGTTTTTAGTATTTTTTACATTGAATCTTTAGGAAAAAGTCCTTAAAATTTCAACTCTCCACTCACTTTAGTTTTTGAGTGGAAAAATTGTGTGTAAAGTCTTACTATAGAAAACATCATTATTTTAAAAAAATCATAATTCCATTAATAATAAATCAATGCCTTTGAGTTTTTAGTATTTTCTACATTGAATCTTTAGGAAAAAGTCCTCAAAATTTCAACTCTCCACTCACTTTAGTTTTTGAGTGAAAAAATTGTGTGTAAAGTCTTACTATAGAAAACATCTTTATTTCAAAAAAATCATAACTCCATTAATAATAACTCGATTACTTTGAGTTTTTAGTATTTTTTACATTGAATCTTTAGGAAAAAGTCCTTAAAATTTCAACTCTCCACTCACTTTAGTTTTTGAGTGGAAAAATTGTGTGTAAAGTCTTACTATAGAAAACATCATTATTTCAAAAAAATCATAACTCCATTAATAATAACTCAATTGCTTTAAGTTTTTAGTATTCTTTAAATTGAATCTTTAGTAAAAAGTCCTCAAAATTTCAACTCTCCATTCACTTTAGTTTTTGAGTGAAAAAATTGTGTGTAAAGTCTTACTATAGAAAACATCATTATTTCAAAAAAATCATAACTCCATTAATAATAACTCAATTGCTTTAAGTTTTTAGTATTTTTTAAATTGAATCTTTAGGAAAAAGTCCTCAAAATTTCAACTCTCCACTCACTTTAGTTTTTGAATGAAAAAATTGTGTGTAAAGTCTTACTTTACAAAACATTATTATTTTAAAAAAATCATAATTCCATTAATAATAACTCAATGGCTTTGAGTTTTTAGTATTTCTCACATTGAATCTTTAGGAAAAAGTCCTCAAAATTCCAACTTTCCACTCACTTTAGTTTTTGAGGGAAAAAATTGTGTGTAAAGTTTTACTTCACAAAACATCATTATTTTTTAAAAAATCATAACTCCATTAATAATAACTCAATGGCTTTCAGTTTTCAGTATTTTCCACATTGAATCTTTAGGAAGAAGTCCTCAAAATTCCAACTCTCCACTCACTTTAGTTTTTGAGTGAAAAAATTGTGTGTAAAGTTTTACTTTACAAAACATCATTATTTGGAAAAAATCATAACTCCATTAATAATAAATCAATGGGTTTGAGTTTTTAATATTTTTCACATTGAATCTTTAGGAAAAAGTCCTCAAAATTTCAACTCTCCACTCACTTTAGTTTTTGAGTGAAAAAATTGTGTGTAAAGTTTTACTATAGAAAACATCATTATTTCAAAAAAATCATAACTCCATTAATAATAACTCAATGGCTTGAAATTTTCAGTATTTTTTACAATGAACCTTTAGGAAAAAGTCCTCAAAATTTCAACTCTCCACTCACTTTAGTTTTTCAGGGAAAAAATTGTGTGTAAAGTTTTACTTTACAAAACATCATTATTTCAAAAAAATCATAACTCCATTAATAATAACTCAATTGTCTTAAGTTTGTAGTATTTTTTACATTGAACCTTGAGGAAAAAGTCCTCAAAATTTGAACTCTCCACTCACTTTAGTTTTTGAGTGAAAAAATTGTGTGTAAAGTTTCACTTTACGAAACATCGTTATTTAAAAAAAATCACAACTCTATTAATAATAACTCAAGCGCTTTGAATTATTAGTATTTTTTACATATGATTTTCCCGCCATTTTTACCCCCTCCCTCCTCCAGATAATCATGTATGGGCCGCCACTGGCAACAGGAGAAATTCATGAAAATCACCTTAAATCCAAATTATGCAAAAATGATGCACCCTCTTCAATTTTCAATTATTCCCAGCTCTTGATTGGATCTTTTCAAAATCAAACTTCAACCAATCATCAGCCGGGAATAGTCAAAAAATTAATGTAGCGTTTTTGGATTGAAAACAGAAATTCAAGAATAGACAAAAATTGAGACAGAAAATTTAATGAAACTTAAAAGTCCATTCATAGTTTATTGACTTTTTGGAGTGTGTGATCTAGAGATTTTGGACACTGATTGGCTACATTTTGGGGCCTCACTAGGTTAATCGTTTAAATTGAGCTCTACTTGCCCAAGGCAACCCTCTAATTTTGGTCAATGAGCATCCAAAATCTCAGATCACGCACACAAAAACATCGAATATCCACTGACCGGGACATTTTCAGGGTTGCCAGATTTTAACTTTGAAAAAGCGGGATAGCGAATAGAAAAAAATATATATGTAGGAACCCTCCCCCCCCACCGCCGTGGGGTGCATAAGTAAAAGATTGCATTATTTTCATGTTAAGAAAAAAAATTGTGCCTAGACGTAGAACCTGAAATTCGTATACAGAGCAGAGAGTGGTTAGTGGTTTCGAAACCTTCATTGGACCATTTTTGATGTGTTGGAGCAAACCTAATATTAAGTATGTCCTTGACTCTTGATACAATAGGTCTGTTCCAACACGTCAAAAATTGTCTGATGAACGGTTTGGAATGTATACGAATTTCGACGCCTCCACCATTACTAGAGAGAGAAGGTATAATATAATGTTTGTGAGTCACTTAGATCAATCAAGATTTGTTAGCATTATGTCTTCGAGCATGCGCTGTTTGGTTTAGCGGAGTTTGGATTAACGCATGTTTGGATTATCAAGGTTGTACTGTATTACATTACATTTTGAAAAATTGGGACATTTTGCATTCAATTTGTGAATTGGGACGGTTATAAACATTTGAAAAAAAACTATACCATTTTTTTAAATAATCTATTTCAACATCATTTTTCTAACAAAAACCAAAATACTACAATTATTTTTTAAGTAAAGACTCGTCCTGCATGGATAGTTGTCCCAATTTCTTGCCGATACGTTCGTGAATGTCTAGAAATTTAGCGACGCACCTATCGATGCACACAGCTTCGCCCTTGGCTATTTCCGAGTCGTTGTAAACAGGCGGAATACACTTTTTATGGCACGCGGCGGTCATCCGGTTGTACATGTCCGCCATCATTTCGATTTCCAGGTCCTGGATCAGCTGCATGTTTTGTTGTTCTTTTTGTGACGACATTGTGGTTTAGGTGGAAGTGAATTTACGGTAACTGGGTTCGTAGTCTCCTTGGTTGGCCGTTCTCATGCGTTGTCTGGCTTTCATATTATCATAGCGCTGTTTTTCGACTGCTTTTTTCGCTAGATAGAACGAGTACAGGCCGCCGACTGTACAAATTGCCCTGCAAAAAAAGGGGGCACACTTTGAGGTTATGTTTCGACTTTTAAAGGAAGGAAAAGAAAGGGGGCACAATTTGCGGTTGTGCTTCTACTGTTTGACGGAGGAAACAAAAAAGGGGGGCTCACTTTGAGGTTATATTTTGATTTTTTAAGGCAAAAGACAAAACGGGGCTCACTTTGAGGTTATGTTTCAATGAAAATTCAATAACTTACCAACCGATTCTTATTTTAGCGTGGGGGCCAAGCCGCATACTTTTTCACACCCGGAAAATTAAATTAAATTGGATTTTTCTTTGGGAAAATGTTGTAACATGTGAAAATAGGTATTATGAGTTTTATTTATCAATTATCCGTCACCTGTCAAAAAGAAAATTGTTTTAAGGATATTGGTTTTTTTACTTTACTCGGCAAACAAAGTATATCTGTCTTTTTTTTTACATGCTAATAAACAAAGACACAACTACTTTGTGTAACGCAGGAACTTTTTAGTTGCCTATTGACAATTAACTTAAAAAAAACAACAGAGATGGCGGCTGTATTCAATTTTGCAGATTTCTGCAATAAGATATTAAGATATTATTGCCATCTATATTTTTAGTCTGTAATTATTTAATATAATTATAGATTTCTGCAATTTTAAAAACTTTTAAGGGGAGCAGTTTTGTCTCATTCTTTTACATGTTTATAAACAAAGATATATATAATAAACAATATAATAATTTTTTATTTTATTACAGGTTTCTGCAGTAAAATTTTGGTGGCCATTAGAAATTCTTCTTTTTAGGACAACAAATAAGTTTAAAACTAACTAAACTTTACAGTTTCAATAATAATTTTTTTAAATTAGTTTATTGCAGATTCCTTTTTATGGATCAGCGAAGCAAGGTGGCGCCATCTATGTTCTCAACCTGGAAAAAGGAGTACTACTCTGAAGCTTTTTTAATGTAATTGCCTCTATACAAGAATATACTATGCTCTATACTCTTGTATAGAGTCTATATATCGAATATATCATATAGAATATACTATACTCTTGTATAGAGTCACTGTAGCAGAGCCTGCAACCTCGCGAGATTTTCGCGATCCATTTTTGACAGAGGACAAAATTCAATGTGGCGTGGCGGCCAAGCAAGTTTGTTTTAAATATGTTTTAATGCGTATTTTAAATTATTTTGCATACAGTTTTGCTTACAACTTTGATTTTCATTATTTAAAAAAATATTTGTTGACTAGGTACCTAAACTATTAATTCGGGCAGAAACTAGATATTTTTTTGTGTTTTTTGGCCCATGTGTGTAATTTTCTCAATTTTCTTCAATCCACACGAGTGGATTCAACTAATTTAGTTATTATTTTGCTTAATTAAAGTGACTTTGACTGAAATAATTAGAGTGTTTTGACCCGAACAACTACATAACCTTTAAATTGGTGACGTGGGATGAAAACCTGTGGATTGAAAATCGTTTTTAATGCGTCAATCATGTGACCAGCGACACGACTAAGGGCCGGTATTATAAAACACTGAACCGATGGTTGAGTTTCAACCATACAAATTGATAGGATTCAACCGAAGGTTGAAACTCAACCGTCGGTTCAGTGCTTTATAATACGGGCCCTAAGTACTACATGAGCCAGTGTTGCCAGAATTGAAGGATTTCCTTCAATATGAAGGGGTTTGATCTAAAATTTTGACTACTGAAGGATCGAAGGTTTCTATACGAATTTGAAGGATTTTGAGGCAAATTGATAATTTTGCAAATAATCATTTTACCAAAGAATTTAATTTTTACTAAAATAAATTAATTAGTTGCATGAGAAAAAATACGAAACGTCAATTTTTACTACGCCACTGACTGCGTCAAAATTTATCATTAAGGCTATAAATATTTCGTTTGTCTTGTCTTTTTTCATTTTTATTTAAAAGAATTTCCTACATGTTATAGTGTTTTTTCTTTTGGTAAAATATTTCGTTTTGCCGGCCACCCGCCACTGTTTTGAAGGATATGAAAGGTTGCAGTCACTTAGTTGAAAAAATTTTTTGCTCAATTTTATTTAATGCAATTTTTTGCTCCATTTTTTTGTGTGATTTTTTTTCTATATTTTTCTCCATTTTTTATACAATTTTTTTTTTGGCTCCATTTTTTATGAAAATTTTTTACTTTTTTTTTTATGCAATTTTTTACTCCATTTTTTATACGATTTTTTTTCCCATTTTTTGCTCCATTTTTTATGCAATTTTTTTTTTTGCTCCATTTTTTATACAATTTTTTTACTTCATTTTTTATGCAATTTTTTGCTTCATTTTTTATACGATTTTTTTTCCATTTTTTAATCCATTTTTTATGAAAAGTTTTTGCTTCATTTTTTATACGATTTTTTTTTTTATTTTTTGCTTCATTTTTTTGTGTGATTTTTTTTCTATATTTTTCTCCATTTTTTGTGCAATTTTTTTTTTGCTCCATTTTTTATAAGATTTTTTTTTTTTTTCATTTTTTGTTGCATTTTTTATGCAATTTTTTTTTTTGCTCCATTTTTTATGAACATTTTTTACTTCATTTTTTATGCAATTTTTTGCACCATTTTTTATACGATTTTCTTTTCCATTTTTTATGCAATTTTTTGTTTTGCACCATTTTTTATGAAAATTTTTCACTTCATTTTTCATGCAATTTTTTGCTCCATTTTTTATACGATTTTTTTTTCATTTTTTGCTGCATTTTTTATGCAATTTTTTTTTTGCTCCATTCTTTGTGAAAATTTTTTACTTCATTTTTTATGCAATTTTTTGCTCCATTTTTTATACGATTTTTTTTTCTCCATTTTTTGCTTCATTTTTTATGGAATTTTTTGCTCCATTTTTCATGAAAATTTTTTGCTTCATTTTTTTATACGATTTTTTTTTTTCATTTTTTGCTCCATTTTTTATGCAATTTTTTTTTTTGCTCCATTTTTTATGAAAATTTTTTTTTTTTTCATTTTTTGCTCCATTTTTTATGGAATTTTTTTTTTTGCTCCATTTTTTATGAAAATTTTTTACTTCATTTTTTATGCAATTTTTTGCTCCATTTTTTATGCTTTTTTTTTTTTGCTCCATTTTTTATGAAAATTTTTTACTTCATTTTTTATACGATTTTTTTTCTCCATTTTTTGCTTCATTTTTTATGGAATTTTTTGCTCCATTTTTTATGAAAATTTTTTGCTTCATTTTTTTATACGATTTTTTTTTTCATTTTTTGCTCCATTTTTTATGCAATTTTTTTTTTGCTCCATTTTTTATGCAATTTTTTTTTGCTCCATTTTTTATGAAAATTTTTTACTTCATTTTTTTATGTAATTTTTTGCTCCATTTTTTATACGATTTTTTTTTCTTTTTTTTTACTCCATTTTTTATGCAATATTTTTTTTTTGTTTCTTTTTTTATGAAAATTTTTTACTTCATTTTTTATGCAATTTTTTGCTCCATTTTTTTTACGATTTTTTTTCTCCATTTTTTATGGAATTTTTTGCTCCATTTTTTATGAAAATTTTTTGCTTCATTTTTTTATGCGATTTTTTTGAACACAATCAGGTAAATTATATGAAGGTTATATTTCTCTCTGGAAATAAAAATAAAACCCCATTCGATTTAAAGCACATTATTATTTATTCCATAATTTTTAGTTTTACACAATTGTCAGAGAAAGTAATAAACATAATTATTTACAATACAAAGTCCTGTTAGCGAGACCAACCTACAAGGAATAATAACAATCGGAGGAAATTACAAGTTTTGTCATTTACGATGCTCAAAATAAATAACAAAATTAGAGAGCTATTTGTTTCCGTTCGTGACTTTTACTGTAAATAGTATTTTTCCTATAGCCGTGCGGAAAAATCAATTTTCTGCACTGATATCCGTGCGGAAAATTAAAAAATTTTACCGTATTTAGGTGGAAAAGTGACACATTCTCGGTCGACGGTGTAAGTTGACAAGCGAGGCGTAGCCAAGGCCGGCCAACACCGAAGGCTGAGAATGTGCTTTTCCACTGAAATACACACGCTGTCAAAAAAAAAAGAAAAATTCTACATTTTTACGCTGGTAGGAAAAATATTGTACCTGACACTTGCGGAATAGCTATTTACCTAACGAGTGCGGAAAATGAATTTTTCCGCACGCGACTGCCGTTCACCCAACGACGCGTAGCGAAGTTCGGTGAGGCAGCCGAGGGCGGAAATAGTTATTTATGCAACAAGTGTGTAAAGTGAACCTTTTCTCACGAATGTGAATTTTGACGCACGAGCCGAAGGCGAGTGCGACAATCACATTTATTTATTTATTTATTTTATTTATTTATTTATGAGTAAAAAAAGGTGCTTTACGCACGTATTGCATACAAAATTTTTTCTACTACCAATCAAATATGTGTAAAATAGATTTAGAGAAATACTTTACGCACTAGTGCGTGAAGTAATTTACCAGAAAAATACTAAATTGACAGTGTCGACATCTGTCATTGATATTACTTTACGCTTTACGCACTAGTGTGTGAAAGAAATTACTTTACGCACTAGTGCGTAAAGTGTAATTTTACGTTTTCTGAATAGTGCGTAAAGTGAGCACTTTACGCACGGAAGTAGAAAAAATATTTTCCGCAAGTGTTAGGTACAATATTTTTCCTACAGGCGTAAAAATGTAGATTTTTTTTTTTTTGTGGTAAAACTTTTTCCGCACTGACAGCCGTGAGTTTTTCCGCACTGATATGCGTGCGGTTCACCGCACCGTGCAGGAAAACTCATTTTCCGCCCGCATATCAGTGCGGAAAATCGATTTTTCCGCACAGCTGTAGGAAATATATTTTTCCGCTCTCGGCTGCTTCACCGAACGACAGCCGCGTGCGGAAAAGTTCATTTTCCGCACTTATTAGGTAAATAGCTATTACATAATTTAATATTATAAAAGGTAGACACCATTTATATAAATTTAATTAAATGCTACTTGTTTTTTTAACAAAAAAATTGAGACTAGTCCAGTAGCGTGCAAGATTTTTATTGGGCCTGCACGCCACTGGAATTTACATTAGAAACAAGATCTCACTGACAGAAACATTTTTACGTATGACCTAAAAATAGGGTGCCATTTTAAATTTCGGAAAATATTCTATGACAAAATAGCTTTCCCCGACCCGAAACTTAACCACCCGGTCAAGGATTTACAAGTGTCTATAAGTTAAAAAAAAAAAAAAAACAATCTAAAATAATTAAAAAAAAGTATCACTTTGTAACAATAAAACAAATTAACATTTACACCTCGAAGCTCTGAAGGGTGCCTTTGATTTCAATGTCAATGCTTGGTTTAGGACGAACTCTTAAATATCACCAAAATTGACTCAACTAGCAAAAAAAATAAAATATCCTCTTATCAATATTTCAACTCTTTTGTACTTTCGTCTTTACTCTAATCATCAAACGCACCCTTCTGAGCTGCAGCTTCTCACAGCTCAATCAAAAAGCAAAAACCTATGCTCAGACCTATTGGACAACTAGTTTTTCTTGGGCGTACCCCTTTGCGTCAGACCTTCGAACCTTTTAAACGTGTAATTGATAAACACCCAATCTTTGTAAGTGATTTCGCCTTCTTGTTGAATTGGAGCGGAAGCTACAAAAAAAAATCGTCAAAATTGAGTAAATCATAGTGAAAAGTAAACTTACGAATTTCTAATTTGACATCAGGGAAATCGTCAAAGTTTGACGTGTCGTCTATCGATCGCACTTCGACCGGAATGGCGGCTGGTCGTTCTCGGATGTGCTCCCAGTCTACGCCCCTGAAGAAACTCACCATATTTTTGAGGTCGTCCAGACCTTTTTGAGATCCCAATCTTCGTTCTGCTTCGCAACAGAATCTGTTTTTGAGAGAAAAGATTATTTATGTCATTAGGTCGAAAAGTGGGTCTCTTGTGGTTAATATTCTGAGGCGAAAATGTGGAAATTTGAGGGAATATTATTGAGGTTTAGAGGCAAAACATAGTAAAAATTTGAATCAATTAGGTGAAAAATTACAAAGTTACAAGATTTTTAAAATTGGACATTTTTGTCTATAAGACTCAATATGACATTCCTCCACAGCTGGACCATTTACTCAAAAACTACTTGAGGTTCGAATATAAAATTTTGAGGGAATATTTTTGAGACTTAGAGGCAAAACATATTAAAAATTCGAATCAATTGAATGAAAAATTACAAAGTTACAAGATTTTTAAAATTGGACATTTTTGTCTATAAGAGTCAATATGATATTCCTCCACATCTGGACTATTTACTCAAAAAATAATTGAGGCGCAAATATGAGATTTTGAGGGAATATTTTTGAGACTTAGAGGCAAAACATACTAAAAATTTGAATCAATTGAGTGAAAAATTACAAAGTTACAAGATTTTTAAAATTGGACATTTTTGTCTATTAGACTCAATATGACATTCCTCCACAGCTGGACCATTTACTCAAAAACTACTTGAGGTTCGAATATGAAATTTTGAGGGAATATTTTTGAGACCTAGAGGCAAAACATATTAAAAATTCGAATCAATTGAATGAAAAATTACAAAGTTACAAGATTTTTAAAATTGGACATTTTTGTCTATAAGAGTCAATATGACATTCCTCCACAGCTGGACCATTTACTCAAAAACTACTTGAGGTCCAAATATGAGATTTTGAGAAAATATTTTTGAAACTTAGAGGCAAAACATACTAAAAATTTAAATCAATTGGGTGAAAAATTCCAAAATTACAAGATTTTTAAAATTGGAAATTTTTGTCTATAAGACTCAATATGATATTCCTCCACATCTGGACCATTTACTCAAAAACTACTTGAATCCCAAATATGAGATTTTGAGGGAATATTTTTGAGGCTTAGAGGCAAAACATACTAAAAACCCAAATCAATTGAGCGAAAAATTACAAAGTTACAAGATTTTTAAAATTGGACATTTTTGTCTATAAGACTCAATATGACATTCCTCCACAGCTGGACCATTTACTCAAAAACTACTTGAGGTTCGAATATAAAATTTTGAGGGAATATTTTTGAGACTTAGAGGCAAAACATATTAAAAATTCGAATCAATTGAATGAAAAATTACAAAGTTACAAGATTTTTAAAATTGGACATTTTTGTCTATAAGAGTCAATATGATATTCCTCCACATCTGGACTATTTACTCAAAAAATAATTGAGGCGCAAATATGAGATTTTGAGGGAATATTTTTGAGACTTAGAGGCAAAACATACTAAAAATTTGAATCAATTGAGTGAAAAATTACAAAGTTACAAGATTTTTAAAATTGGACATTTTTGTCTATTAGACTCAATATGACATTCCTCCACAGCTGGACCATTTACTCAAAAACTACTTGAGGTTCGAATATGAAATTTTGAGGGAATATTTTTGAGACTTAGAGGCAAAACATATTAAAAATTCGAATCAATTGAATGAAAAATTACAAAGTTACAAGATTTTTAAAATTGGACATTTTTGTCTATAAGAGTCAATATGACATTCCTCCACAGCTGGACCATTTACTCAAAAACTACTTGAGGTCCAAATATGAGATTTTGAGAAAATATTTTTGAAACTTAGAGGCAAAACATACTAAAAATTTAAATCAATTGGGTGAAAAATTCCAAAATTACAAGATTTTTAAAATTGGAAATTTTTGTCTATAAGACTCAATATGATATTCCTCCACATCTGGACCATTTACTCAAAAACTACTTGAATCCCAAATATGAGATTTTGAGGGAATATTTTTGAGGCTTAGAGGCAAAACATACTAAAAACCCAAATCAATTGAGCGAAAAATTACAAAGTTACAAGATTTTTAAAATTGGACATTTTTGTCTATAAGACTCAATATGACATTCCTCCACAGCTGGACCATTTACTCAAAAACTACTTGAGGTCCAAATATGAGATTTTGAGAAAATATTTTTGAAACTTAGAGGCAAAACATACTAAAAATTTAAATCAATTGGGTGAAAAATTCCAAAATTACAAGATTTTTAAAATTGGAAATTTTTGTCTATAAGACTCAATATGATATTCCTCCACATCTGGACCATTTACTCAAAAACTACTTGAATCCCAAATATGAGATTTTGAGGGAATATTTTTGAGGCTTAGAGGCAAAACATACTAAAAACCCAAATCAATTGAGCGAAAAATTACAAAGTTACAAGATTTTTAAAATTGGACATTTTTGTCTATAAGACTCAATATGACATTCCTCCACAGCTGGACCATTTACTCAAAAACTACTTGAGGTCCAAATATGAGATTTTGAGAAAATATTTTTGAAACTTAGAGGCAAAACATACTAAAAATTTAAATCAATTGGGTGAAAAATTCCAAAATTACAAGATTTTTAAAATTGGAAATTTTTGTCTATAAGACTCAATATGATATTCCTCCACATCTGGACCATTTACTCAAAAACTACTTGAATCCCAAATATGAGATTTTGAGGGAATATTTTTGAGGCTTAGAGGCAAAACATACTAAAAACCCAAATCAATTGAGCGAAAAATTACAAAGTTACAAGATTTTTAAAATTGGACATTTTTGTCTATAAGACTCAATATGACATTCCTCCACAGCTGGACCATTTACTCAAAAACTACTTGAGGTCCAAATATGAGATTTTGAGAAAATATTTTTGAAACTTAGAGGCAAAACATACTAAAAATTTAAATCAATTGGGTGAAAAATTCCAAAATTACAAGATTTTTAAAATTGGAAATTTTTGTCTATAAGACTCAATATGATATTCCTCCACATCTGGACCATTTACTCAAAAACTACTTGAATCCCAAATATGAGATTTTGAGGGAATATTTTTGAGGCTTAGAGGCAAAACATACTAAAAACCCAAATCAATTGAGCGAAAAATTACAAAGTTACAAGATTTTTAAAATTGGACATTTTTGTCTATAAGACTCAATATGACATTCCTCCACAGCTGGACCATTTACTCAAAAACTACTTGAGGTCCAAATATGAGATTTTGAGAAAATATTTTTGAAACTTAGAGGCAAAACATACTAAAAATTTAAATCAATTGGGTGAAAAATTCCAAAATTACAAGATTTTTAAAATTGGAAATTTTTGTCTATAAGACTCAATATGATATTCCTCCACATCTGGACCATTTACTCAAAAACTACTTGAATCCCAAATATGAGATTTTGAGGGAATATTTTTGAGGCTTAGAGGCAAAACATACTAAAAACCCAAATCAATTGAGTGAAAAATTACAAAGTTACAAGATTTTTAAAATTGGACATTTTTGTCTATAAGACTCAATATGACATTCCTCCACAGCTGGACCATTTACTCAAAAACTACTTGAAGCTCAAATATGAAATTTTGAGGGAATATTTTTGAGGCTTAGAGGCAAAACATACTAAAAACCCAAATCAATTGAGTGAAAAATTACAAAGTTACAAGATTTTTAAAATTGGACATTTTTGTCTATAAGACTCAATATGACATTCCTCCACAGCTGGACCATTTACTCAAAAACTACTTGAGGTTCGAATATAAAATTTTGAGGGAATATTTTTGAGACTTAGAGGCAAAACATATTAAAAATTCGAATCAATTGAATGAAAAATTACAAAGTTACAAGATTTTTAAAATTAGACATTTTTGTCTATAAGAGTCAATATGATATTCCTCCACATCTGGACTATTTACTCAAAAAATAATTGAGGCGCAAATATGAGATTTTGAGGGAATATTTTTGAGACTTAGAGGCAAAACATACTAAAAATTTGAATCAATTGAGTGAAAAATTACAAAGTTACAAGATTTTTAAAATTGGACATTTTTGTCTATTAGACTCAATATGACATTCCTCCACAGCTGGACCATTTACTCAAAAACTACTTGAGGTTCGAATATGAAATTTTGAGGGAATATTTTTGAGACTTAGAGGCAAAACATATTAAAAATTCGAATCAATTGAATGAAAAATTACAAAGTTACAAGATTTTTAAAATTGGACATTTTTGTCTATAAGAGTCAATATGATATTCCTCCACATCTGGACTATTTACTCAAAAAATAATTGAGGCGCAAATATGAGATTTTGAGGGAATATTTTTGAGACTTAGAGGCAAAACATACTAAAAATTTGAATCAATTGAGTGAAAAATTACAAAGTTACAAGATTTTTAAAATTGGACATTTTTGTCTATTAGACTCAATATGACATTCCTCCACAGCTGGACCATTTACTCAAAAACTACTTGAGGTTCGAATATGAAATTTTGAGGGAATATTTTTGAGACTTAGAGGCAAAACATATTAAAAATTCGAATCAATTGAATGAAAAATTACAAAGTTACAAGATTTTTAAAATTGGACATTTTTGTCTATAAGAGTCAATATGATATTCCTCCACATCTGGACTATTTACTCAAAAAATAATTGAGGCGCAAATATGAGATTTTGAGGGAATATTTTTGAGACTTAGAGGCAAAACATACTAAAAATTTGAATCAATTGAGTGAAAAATTACAAAGTTACAAGATTTTTAAAATTGGACATTTTTGTCTATAAGACTCAATATGACATTCCTCCACAGCTGGACCATTTACTCAAAAACTACTTGAGGTCCAAATATGAGATTTTGAGGAAATATTTTTGAGGCATAGAGGCAAAACATACTAAAAACCCAAATCAATTGAGCGAAAAATTACAAAGTTACAAGATTTTTAAAATTGAACATTTTTGTCTATAAAACCCAATATGACATTCCTCCACATCTGGACCATTTGCTCAAAAACTACTTGAAGTCCAAATATGAGATTTTGAGGGAATATTTTTGAGGCTTAGAGGCAAAACATACTAAAAACCCAAATCAATTGAGCGAAAAATTACAAAGTTACAAGATTTTTAAAATTGAACATTTTTGTCTATAAGAGTCAATATGACATTCCTCCACAGCTGGACCATTTACTCAAAAACTACTTGAGGTCCAAATATGAGATTTTGAGGGAATATTTTTGAGACTTAGAGGCAAAACATACTAAAAATTTGAATCAATTGAGTGAAAAATTACAAAGTTACAAGATTTTTTAAAATTGGACATTTTTGTCTATAAGACTCAATATGACATTCCTCCACAGCTGGACCATTTACTCAAAAACTACTTGAGGTCCAAATATGAGATTTTGAGGGAATATTTTTGAGACTTAGAGGCAAAACATACTAAAAATTTGAATCAATTGAGTGAAAAATTACAAAGTTACAAGATTTTTAAAATTGGACATTTTTGTCAATAAGACTCAATATGACATTCCTCCACAGCTGGACCATTTACTCAAAAACTACTTGAGGTCCAAATATGAGATTTTGAGGGAATATTTTTGAGACTTAGAGGCAAAACATACTAAAAATTTGAATCAATTGAGCAAAAAATTACAAAGTTATAAGATTTTTAAAATTGGACATTTTTGTCTATAAAACCCAATATGACATTCCTCCACATCTGGACCATTTACTCAAAAACTACTTGAAGCCCAAATATGATATTTCGAGGGAATATTTTTGAGGCTTAGAGGCAAAACATACTAAAAACCCAAATCAATTGAACGAAAAATAACAAAGTTACAAAATTTTTAAAATTGAACATTTTTGTCTATAAGAGTCAATATGACATTCCTCCACAGCTGGACCATTTACTCAAAAACTACTTGAGGTCCAAATATGAGATTTTGAGGGAATATTTTTGAGACTTAGAGGCAAAACATATTAAAAATTTGAATCAATTGAGTGAAAAATTACAAAGTTACAAGATTTTTAAAATTGGACATTTTTGTCAATAAGACTCAATATGACATTCCTCCACAGCTGGACCATTTACTCAAAAACTACTCGAGGTCCAAATATGAGATTTTGAGGGAATATTTTTGAGACTTAGAGGCAAAACATACTAAAAATTTGAATCAATTGAGCAAAAAATTACAAAGTTATAAGATTTTTAAAATTGGACATTTTTGTCTATAAAACCCAATATGACATTCCTCCACATCTGGACCATTTACTCAAAAACTACTTGAAGCCCAAATATGATATTTTGAGGGAATATTTTTGAGGCTTAGAGGCAAAACATACTAAAAACCCAAATCAATTGAGCGAAAAATAACAAAGTTACAAAATTTTTAAAATTGAACATTTTTGTCTATAAGAGTCAATATGACATTCCTCCACAGCTGGACCATTTACTCAAAAACTACTTGAGGTCCAAATATGAGATTTTGAGGAAATATTTTTGAGACTTAGAGGCAAAACATATTAAAAATTTGAATCAATTGAGTGAAAAATTACAAAGTTACAAGATTTTTAAAATTGGACATTTTTGTCAATAAGACTCAATATGACATTCCTCCACAGCTGGACCATTTACTCAAAAACTACTTGAGGTTCGAATATGAAATTTTGAGGGAATATTTTTGAGACTTAGAGGCAAAACATATTAAAAATTCGAATCAATTGAATGAAAAATTCCAAAGTTACAAGATTTTTAAAATTGGACATTTTTGTCTATAAAACCCAATATGACATTCCTCCACAGCTGGACCATTTACTCAAAAACTACTTGAGGTCCAAATATGAGATTTTGAGGGAATATTTTTGAGACTTAGAGGCAAAACATACTAAAAATTCGAATCAATTGAATGAAAAATTACAAAGTTACAAGATTTTTAAAATTGGACATTTTTGTCTATAAGACTCAATATGACATTCCTCCACAGCTGGACCATTTACTCAAAAACTACTTGAAGCTCAAATATGAAATTTTGAGGGAATATTTTTGAGACTTAGAGGCAAAACATACTAAAAATTCGAATCAATTGAATGAAAAATTACAAAGTTACAAGATTTTTAAAATTGGACATTTTTGTCTATAAGAGTCAATATGATATTCCTCCACATCTGGACTATTTACTCAAAAAATAATTGAGGCGCAAATATGAGATTTTGAGGGAATATTTTTGAGACTTAGAGGCAAAACATACTAAAAAATTTGAATCAATTGAATGAAAAATTACAAAGTTACAAGATTTTTAAAATTGGACATTTTTGTCTATAAGACTCAATATGATATTCCTCCACAGCTGGACCATTTACTCAAAAACTACTTGAGGTTCGAATATGAAATTTTGAGGGAATATTTTTGAGACTTAGAGGCAAAGATAATAAAAATTCGAATCAATTGAATGAAAAATTCCAAAGTTACAAGATTTTTAAAATTGGACATTTTTGTCTATAAAACCCAATATGACATTCCTCCACAGCTGGATCATTTACTCAAAAACTACTTGAGGTTCGAATATGAAATTTTGAGGGAATATTTTTGAGACTTAGAGGCAAAACATACTAAAAATTCGAATCAATTGAATGAAAAATTACAAAGTTACAAGATTTTTAAAATTGGACATTTTTGTCTATAAGAGTCAATATGATATTCCTCCACATCTGGACTATTTACTCAAAAAATAATTGAGGCGCAAATATGAGATTTTGAGGGAATATTTTTGAGACTTAGAGGCAAAACATACTAAAAATTTGAATCAATTGAGTGAAAAATTACAAAGTTACAAGATTTTTAAAATTGGACATTTTGTCTATAAAACCCAATATGACATTCCTCCACAGCTGGACCATTTACTCAAAAACTACTTGAGGTTCGAATATGAAATTTTGAGGGAATATTTTTGAGGCTTAGAGGCAAAACATACTAAAAACCCAAATCAATTGAACGAAAAATAACAAAGTTACAAAATTTTTAAAATTGAACATTTTTGTCTATAAGAGTCAATATGACATTCCTCCACAGCTGGACCATTTACTCAAAAACTACTTGAGGTCCAAATATGAGATTTTGAGGGAATATTTTTGAGACTTAGAGGCAAAACATATTAAAAATTTGAATCAATTGAGTGAAAAATTACAAAGTTACAAGATTTTTAAAATTGGACATTTTTGTCAATAAGACTCAATATGACATTCCTCCACATCTGGACCATTTACTCAAAAACTACTTGAGGTCCAAATATGAGATTTTGAGGGAATATTTTTGAGACTTAGAGGCAAAACATACTAAAAATTTGAATCAATTGAGCAAAAAATTACAAAGTTATAAGATTTTTAAAATTGGACATTTTTGTCTATAAAACCCAATATGACATTCCTCCACATCTGGACCGTTTACTCAAAAACTACTCGAAGCCCAAATATGAGATTTTGAGGGAATATTTTTGAGGCTTAGAAGTAAAATATACTAAAAATTCGAATCAATTGAGTGAAAAATTACAAAGTTACAAGATTTTTAAAATTGGACATTTTTGTCTATAAGACTCAATATGATATTCCTCCATAGCTGGACCATTTACTCAAAAACTACTTGAGGTCCAAATATGAGATTTTGAGGAAATATTTTTGAGACTTAGAGGCAAAACATACTAAAAATTTGAATCAATTGAGCAAAAAATTACAAAGTTATAAGATTTTTAAAATTAGACATTTTTGTCTATAAAACCCAATATGACATTCCTCCACATCTGGACCGTTTACTCAAAAACTACTCGAAGCCCAAATATGAGATTTTGAGGGAATATTTTTGAGGCTTAGAAGTAAAATATACTAAAAATTCGAATCAATTGAATGAAAAATTACAAAGTTACAAGATTTTTAAAATTGGACATTTTTGTCTATAAGACATTTTTCCACATTTTGAACATTTACTTAAAAACCATTTGAGACGCAAATATGAAATTTTGAGGGAACATTTTTAAGAATTAGAAGAAAAAATCCAACAAGATCATCATTGGCTACTTACTTTCTTATAGTGTCCTTTGCCTCCTCGGAAATCGGCACTTCGGCAGGAAAAATCAACGTTTCGCGCCAATTCATCACTTTCCTGTACGTGTCCTGAGGATTTTCCGAACAAAACGGCGGATACCCGATCAACATTTCATACATAATCACACCTAGTGACCACCAATCGCAAGCCGGACCGTAACCGGTTTGCAGGAAAACTTCCGGCGCTATATAATCAGGAGTACCGACTGTACTGTAAGCCAAAGCTCTTCGGTTCTTTTTCCAACTTTCGGCGCGACGTTTCGAATCCATCGGCGACGAAGTAATTACTGATGATGAAACTAAAATTAAATATTAAAAATTATAAATAAAATATAAAAATTACTTACTAAAATCAGAAGGTTTTGCTTGGCTTAAATCCCGATAAAAATCTGTCCGGTGCGATTTTTTGAGGCCGGTGCACAGCCCGAAATCGGACAGCTTGAGGTGGCCTTTGGCGTCTAGCAGCAAATTGTCAGGCTTGATGTCCCTATGTATAAATCCTAACTTGTGTATCGAGTCTATTGCTAAAGCCGTTTCTGCAATGTAAAATTGCGTACATTCCTCGGAAAGGGTGTCTTTTTTCATTAGGAGCGTCATCATGTCGCCCCCAGGCAAGAATTCCATTATCAGGTAGAGGTTGATTGGGTCTTGAAAACTACAAAAAAAATGTTCAATAAATCAAGTGTTTTAAATCTAAAAAAATTACATACCTATAATACATTTTGACTACCCATTGGTGGTCGGCTTCGACTAAAATGTCCCGTTCGGCTCGGACATGAGCCACTTGTTCTTTTTCTAGCATGTCCGCCTTCCGTAAGATTTTCATCGCGTACACGTGTCCGGTGTCCTTTTTTTGTACCAGCCGGACTTCGCCGAACGCCCCTCGGCCTATCACTTTGAGGGGTTCGAAATCTTCGACGCCCAATCTGGAAATAAGACACACCGTATCAAGAACCAAGATTAATCAAAACATACAGCAGAACCAAGGGGTTTTTCAACTTTGCAAATAACTGGTTGATATATGTCATTACCAGGTAAATACCATGACAATACTATGCAATACCTACTTGGTAATTATTTAGGTAATATATGTTAATACTTGTAGATATCTAGGCAATAGGTTAATATCATTGGTTGATACCCATTAATAATATGTAAATACCTGTGGATATGTCAATACCTAGAATTCTAGCGTAACAAATATTTGATTTTAGTCTGTCAATAGCATGACAATACCTAGTAATATATGATAATACTATGTGGCAATATGTGGAAATATTTTGTTAATACATGGAAATAATTAGGGATCGACCGATATAGAAATTTCAGCCGATACCGATATTTCAAATTTTTTTGACATATATCTGTATCAAAATCACAATCGGGTATGAGCAGATTTTTATATCTCAACAATTTGAGGTATTTGAACAGTGATGCCAGGTCTGGTGAAATTTCACTAGATCTGGTGATTTTATGAAAAATCTGGTGATTGGTGACAAACTTTATGAAAAATGGCAATTTCTGGTGATTTTGAAATTTCATCAATTTTGAATATTTTTAACAATGGCATACACTTTATAAACATCCCTCGTAAATGTATTAAAATTTTACTTCATTTTCATACAAATTTTATTTGTTTGACAGAAAACCAAATACCCATAAGTGGTGTGTGAGGTCCTTTGATTTTTATATAAATTTGTATTTGTTCTTTTGATATATTTATGTATGTTTCTCTTTTTATATTCCATTTTCTGTTTATATACTTTCGTATCCTCAGAGTTACACCCCAAAAAATAACTGTTCGTCTTTCACCAACGTTGTTTCTTCGACGCAAAATTGCGCGCTTTGTAAAGGCAATCACTTGTTAACAAGATGCCCTGCATTTGCTTCTAAAGCTCCCACTGAAAGATTTACTTTTGTGAAGCAAGCTAAACCTCTGTTTGAATTGTTTGTCGTCGTCTCACCTTCTGAAAAAGTGTCCAAGCAATTATCGTTGTCGATCATGTAATTACTCACATCATACTTTGTTGCACATGTCCCGTCAAGGAACTCCCTCTTGTGGTCGGGATCCCCTGGATAATTCGCGATCGTCGTCTGGAGATAACTGTCAGAGTGATGGACTTTTCGCCAACGCATCATTGAATTATGCCACTAGCTGCCGTCCTACTAGGTACCGCGATGGTTGACATTCTGGACTCTACCGGACATCTATTCGCATTCTTATCGATTCAGCTAGCCAAGCTAGCTTCATTTCAAAAAAAATGTATTCGGCAATTATTAGGATTACCTCGGCGCAGGTCAGTGGCGACGCGTGACCAGTAGTCTGGGGGGGGGGGGTAAATGGTACGGGGGGCTGAGGGGGCGCCCTCCAAAAACGCGCCGCAGGCGAAATTTTTCGCAAATTTCAAGGTCATTCACTTTTCTAGAACAATTATTTCATTTGTGAAAAAAATAAAACAAAACAAAAATGTATTTTCTTCAATATGTTATGTATTTTCTTTTTGGCATCATGATTTTTTCTCTTGATAATTCGATCCTGGGGGGGGGGGGGGTAATTACCCCCCCAGTACCCCCCCCCCCCCCCCCCCCCGACGCGACGCCCCTGGCGCAGGTATAATATAGCTATTCTTGGCTTAAATCAGATGCGTTCGCAAACCATCAATGGAATGACTCATTGCCGCAAAAAAACTCAAAACTTGTCGACTCCCGTCTTTTCGTTCGAGGCCATCGTCTTACCCAATTTGTGCACTGACGTGCCCTCCATTCCCCTCAACGCCAGTCGCTGGGATCATATCAAGCATCTCAATTTAGCGGATAAAACGTGTCAAGTTCATGGTGCGATTGACGTTTTGACTGGAGCGGAACTAGTCCCCCATATTCTACTTTCCGGGCGGATTCCAGGTACAAATGGTCAGCCCTCCGCTCTAGAAATCTTTGGTTGGATTTTGATTGGGAAAGTGCAGAATTCGTCGAATAATGCGCTTGCTATCTCATCTTATTGCACTTCGAGTGATTTGGATACGTGCCTTCAAAGGTTTTGGGAGATTGATAACATTACGCACTCGCTTCCTGCATCCCCCCATGATGAACACTGCGAAAACGTTGTCTCTAAGTCCACTTATCGTGACAATGTTGGTCGATTTACGGTCTCCCTGCCCTTTAAGTCCTCGAATTCCGACTTAGGACATTCCTACTCATCTGTCGTTAGAAAAGCGCCTAGCCAAAAATACCGATCTTCGCTCAATATACGTTAATTTCATGCGCGAATATCTTGATACTCATCACATAAGTCTCCCCTATAACTGAAAATAAAGTTGGTAAATACTACATTCTTCATCATTGTGTGCTAAAACCTGATAGTTACACAACCAAATTAAGGGGTTATCGCTGAATGACGCATTATTGCTCGGTCCCAAATTGCAAAAGGACATAGCCACTATTCTTTTATCGTTTCGAATTCACAATTACGTCTTTATGGTGGATATCAAACAAATGTACCGTTAAATATTGCTGCACCCTGCCCAACGGGATTTCAAAATAATTCTTCTGTGGAGGTTCTCTCCAGAAGATCCGCTTTGGGAATATATTTTGAATACATTAGTTTACGGAATAAAAAGCTCCGCCTACTTAGCTATTCGCACCTTGAAAGAGTTGGCAATTCGAGAATGTCGCAATTTTCCTGAGGCTTCTAAAATCGTTGAAAACGAAATTTATGTAGATGACATAATCTCCGGGAGTCATTCTGTTCACTCCGCCTTGAAATTTCAACAGGACCTCATTGCTTTGTTAAGCAAAGGAGGATTTGAACTTAGAAAGTGGGCTAGTAACCATGCTGCTCTGTTCGTGCACTGGACTGGTTATTGAAACTAAATGTCAGCAAATGTTGTGTATTGCACATTGGATACAACAATCCTATGCTGGACTACCATATGGGCAATAACAACTTGGAAAGGGTGACTGAGCAGGCTGACTTAGGAGTAAATATCTCCCATGACCTAAAATGGGAACAGCACATACATGCAATCGTGAAGCGAGACCACTGCTGGAGCATGCTGTTGTGGTTTGGTGTCCCTATTTCAGAAAAGACATAGATCTGATTGAGCGTGTCCAGAGGAGGGATTCCACCATCTTTAAGAGAATTGTCTTATGAAGAACGACTGGAAGCTCTTAATCTGACAACTTTGAAGGAACCCAGAAATAGAGGATACTTAATCGAAACATACAAAATTTTACATAATCATTACACGTTAAACAAGTTACCAGACAGTGATCGTCAAATGTCCTTATCTTTTGACAAGGATGAACCCACTTTCATCAAAGTTTTGGGACTCCAATGGAATCCCGTTTTTGACACTTTTTCGTATAGCTGCCTACCGTTGGAGAAGAGTTGCACAAAACGTAGTATACCTACTTCAGGAAATTGCCCGAATTTTCGAACCTTTGTGTTTTTTGGCCCCTGTGTCTTTATTAGCTAAACATTTGATGCAGAGACTTTGGAAGCCTAATTTAACTTGGGACGAGATCCCGTCTCAAGCTATACTTAGTTGACGAATGGACAAAGTTTAAGAAAGAGCTACCTACCGGAATGGGGCCATCCCGCTAATTTGAAATGAATGTTTCTAAGGTGAGACAAGTACTTCTAATGCCCAAAATTACCGTTTAATATGATTATTACCATTACGCATTGAAACATAACAATTTTATTCAAGAATGAATTTTTGTCATTATTTGAAATTGATGTTTTCGTGCCTTTATGATGTATTATGACTCCAGCCAATAAGAGACAAAGCAAAATATTCCATAACGACTTTAACCCTGAAAAATAGGCAACCAGATATACAGTTTTTATTTTGATCAAAAAATCAACACAGAACTGACATATTTCAATGTCATAACCACCCTCTTAATTAATGTCTGCCCAGCGACTCTGTGTCTACGGGGCAACAGTAAGGGGAATGCAGTTGTAAAAAAAATGGCTGATTTCATTCATCATAAAATACCCAGCTGCGTGCGTAACTTTTTGGAAATGTTATCGTATTGCAACTCGTTCACGAAAATCGACAATGACCAAACCCCCGCCACTGGCCACTGGATATTTCAATATAAATCGATATTCCAAGATGGAAGGATAAAATGACATAAGCTCTGGCAAATAGCGAGACGTAAGGTGACGTTAGCCCATTGACAACCGCATGGTTCCCCATGGCAACGGCCATCCTGCCAAAAACTCCACCAATCAGATTCATCCAGGCCGGATGCTTGCCAAATTGTTAAAGGCTGATGGTATCTTTAGAAAATGTTTATTTTTTACAATGGACAAAATTGAAGAAATAAGTTATTAAAATAAAAATAGATTTAACAACCACGTTGAAATAAACTGCTCCACAGGAGTTAAGGATATGGAGGTTTCTTTGTTAAAAAATAAACGAAAACTGTTCTTTATGTAAATATAAAAGTTATTAAAATAAATAAACACTTTTTTTTGAAATCTTGAATAAAAAGAGTTGATATCTTTGTAAACAATGTACGTTTTTCGTTCTTTTACTATATTTGTCTTATCAGTATTCCACAAAATTTAGTCTTCCTATGGGTTTATTCCTACTTGCAACTCGAAATAATGGTTAGGCGTAAATTAACAAGGGACGAGGCTAATCGTGCAATTGGTATGCTACAGAGTGGCCGTCTACAACGAGAAGTGGCGAATGAGTTTAATGTGTCGCAAAGTGTCATAAGTAGACTCAATAGTCGATTCGATGAAACTGGAACTGTATCAGAAAGACATAGGATTGGTGGTCCGAGGAAAACAACACCCGCACAAGATCGATTGGTAACGCTAAGCGCACGGAGGGAGCCTTTATCTACGTGTAGACACCTGTCACAGCGACTTGCGAATGCCACAGGAGTCCACGTTTCAATTGAAACAATA